TTCTCAGTGTTGTTGTACGGGGCCGAGGCTTGGACGTTGTCCGAAGCAACAGAAAAAAGGATAAGGAGTTTTGAGCTGTGGATCTATCGAAGACTCCTGAGAGTTTCATGGATGGACCGAGTCACCAACGAGGTGGTCCTCAGAAGAATGAACTGCCAATTAACTCTCATGAATACCATAAAACAACGCAAACTTGAGTATTTGGGCCATATTATGAGAAACCCCGTCAAATATCGCCTACTACAGCTGTTCCTGCAAGGTAAAGTGGAAGGAAGAAGAGGACCAGGTAGAAGGAGAATATCCTGGCTCGCTAACTTGAGAAAATGGTTTGGCGTGACTTCCGTCGATCTGTTCCGCGCGGCAGCCAACAAAATAAGAATAGCCATGATGATAGCCAACATCCGGAACGGATAAGGCCGTCAAAGAAGAAGAAGATAAGCAATCATTTTTGATATCCATGGAAGTTTGCATGACGACGCGTGAAGAGTAATTAGATTAGTTAGTTATCGTGACCAGCATGATTGTGACATTTCAAAATCTGTCAGAAATAAGCCTAATTCCCCATATAAATTTTTTTAAAATATCGACCTGCAAAAATTTGACGGATCAATTTTTATTTAATAAATCGTAAAGTTTAGGAAAAATACGTTAACTAATAACTTAAACTTTTTCGTAGAATCAATATTAACAAAAGATATTCACTGAGTAATTAGCAATCATTTTAAGTATCTCGCTCGAAATAGAAGCTTCCCTATTTGACATTTTAAAATGTTAATAGTATATTATGCAACAAGTGCGGTAACGGCATTTGACGTACGAGTTTATTTGACACGTGAGCGGAGCGAGATTTTAATAAACGAGTGAGTTAAAAAGTTTACCGAACGTGTTGCATACTATACTTTGTCTACGACCGTTAGTTTTTGGGCACATTTTCGCAAAACACGAATACATTCACTGACATGACCGTCAGAATTGACACACGTCAAAATTCAAAGCGTGGGAAATATCTCCGAAAACATCCGACTGCTCCCAAATCCGTGCGGTAAAATCCCGGAAATGTCCGAAGTGGCTCGAATCCATGGGAAACGAAACTGGCGTGGTAAAGTGACGCTTTTGACCGAGATATTTAACTGATATTAAACAGATAAGTACTAATCATTTTCAAGAGTTGAAAATTTTGAATAAATAAAGCCGACAGTAGTCGATGTTACGAGTAGCAAAAAAGTTACCATGCACATCATACTTCTAATCGGCCTATTATTCATATCAATTGTGGTGAGTAATTTATATCAGTATTGTCCTATTACACTAAATAACAAATTATTTCCATATTTTGCAAAGCCCTTTGAAATATTTTACGCTAGATCGGTGGGTAATTAAGTATTTTACGGACGGGAGTAAAAAAAATAGTTTTTTTCTACTCCATTTTATAAAATACTCAATTATACAACGATTGAGCCTACATCATTTTACTACATCAGTTCTTCGAGCTACTTCGGACATTTCCGGGATATTGAATTTTTACGTTTACCCAAAAACTAATGGTAAAAAGAAGTTGATAAACTTATTGAGACACTTGTTTATTAAGCACCCCCTCCTCTCGTGCCAAAACAGAACTCGCGACTCAAATGCCGTTTATCAAACTTGTTGCATAATATACGATGTCTATCTAATTTTTTAGGGAGAATCCGAATCACCGACTCAGAACAACGCCATGTAAATAAACAAAACTCTCTATATTTTTAGCTCTCTGATCAGATGTTTCCATTCTGAGTTCATTGTCGGCAAATCGTTTTGTACATACTAATAATTTGGTTCATCGATAGTCGAAAATAGGAGTTTTCTCTAATTTTTAACGATATAATCGAATTAAATGCTTTATGACCTCTCAAAGACCTTGCTTTTTGCCAATTTTACCTCTCTGGACAGATGTGTTCCTCGAATTTATCAATATAAGATAGGTAACATCGTTTTTAACTTCTCCAACAAGATGGAATAGGGGCCGTTATAATCTTGTTTAAAATAAGGTGAGACTTTGCTTAACCGATGACAAGAATCGAAGAGTACTGGAAATTAACATTCGAAACTACAATAAAACTAATTACCAATGTCTCCGCTATATTAATCCTTATTCTTTCCGTGTCGGAAAATTAATAAGTCGACAGTAACCGTGCATCTAATCAGTTTGAATGCAGTCAGCGATTGGTACGTGAATTAACATGTACAACAAACGGCGTGCTAATTTTCCAGAGACGCGGCCCGTTCTCGCCCAGAACAGAACGAACTGTCTAACTAGGCTATAACGTTAAATCTGCAATTATAAAATCGCAAATTAAACTTCTTTCTTCCGCTAGTTAGTTCCCTATTTAACTAGTCTACTAACAATTACTTTAACTTCACGAGGTTCAACATTAAAGGTAGTTAAATTCGGCTTGGAAACTCTTTAATTAGTATTTCGTAGTTTCGTGATTAATACCGGTCGAGTCGTGTCGCGCCTAAACTCCATATATCTCCGGTTCCAACCCTTGTCTCACTATCAATGTCGCCCTGTCTGCGCAAACAAAATATATTTACCCCTGTTTTTGTGCTTTTCTTCGTCTAACCGCGGGCTTCCTTATCTTATGCTCTTTCTGTGTGTGTGTGTGTGTGAATGCAAACTTTGACGGGTCGCGATTTATCGTGACTATTCACATTATGTGCGCTCCCGGAACGGGGCAAAAACCACTTAATTCGGACGTTTGGCAACGGGGTGTATTTTTTTCGAAGCCACGACGAATACTACCCGCGTGGAGAACTTTGCGAAACTACAATTTTACTTGATTTACAATCCAATTTTATGATTTGGGTGAAAAAATGGTTCGGAACTTTCGGGCGACGCAAATATTGCTCAGTCCGGAACCGCTGTTTAGGAAAAAACTGGTCGATTGTAGTTTTTCCTTCAAAAAATATGGCTAGTTTACCATTGTACTAACATTGTAATTTTGGTTTTGGATGCATGTTGAATAATTCAAATATACAGGATTATTCACGGTGAGTGTCCTATTAGACGTCTATAGAGAATGACGGTAAAACCCTGAAATGTTGCTTACTTATACAAAAGATTTTTGGCCATGCGGTGTTGCCAGCTTACTCCTAACATATATAAACTTTCATATTTTAATTGGAACACGCTGTATATTATTACATTTTTAGATTCTGCGATACATTCTGGAACTTTTTTATGTAACCTGTACCGTACCTATCCTGAACATTTTCGGAGATAAAAAATACTTTAAAAATAAATTTGCAGACAAACAACCCGACATAAAATAATAATTTTTTTCGCAACAAGTAGAGATAAACATTTGAATATTTGGTTCCCTATTAAATTTCTTTATCATAATATAGTATGGAAATTAACTGATCGCTTAGAGGGCGTTCATAAGATCAGGCCCTATTGGCAAGATGTAAAAATCGGTGTTACGTGGGAATTTTAAATTTAACAACCCATATTTTATTTTTATCAAGATGAAATGTCATTACTTTAATTCGCTTTAATTGAAATATTTTGGTTTTTTGCTTCTAACTCGAAAACCCATAGTTTGGTACTTTTAGATGACAAATTAATTATGCCACTATAAAATATGGGGTGTTCAATTTAAAATTCCCACGTAACACGGATTTTTATATCTTGCCAATTGGGAATTATCTTATGGATGCCCTGTAAGCGATAAGTTAATTGATTAATAAGCAAATTAATAGGGAACCGCAATCAAAAATTCAAGTGTTTAGCTGTACGGGTTCCGAAAAAAGTTAATATTTTATATGGGGTTATTTGTTGCCAAATTACTTAAAAAGTATTTTTTATATCCGAAAATGTTTAAGATATGTATGGTTCATATTACATAAAACAAGTTATATATTACATAAAAGAAGTAATAATATACAGGGTGTTCCATTTCAAAAATTAAAATTGATATACGTTACGAGTATGCCTGGCAACACCGCCAACCAACCAACATTGTAGGTTTTTACCGTAAGTCATTCTCCATAAACGTCAAATAGGAGACTCACCGCGAATAACCCTGTATAGAATACAGGAAATATTATATTAGTAAAGTCCAGACATAGCAATTGTGCAGTTACTTCATAGCATGTCATCTTTATCTAGTTCGTTATTTGTCATTTTTTTGTCAATTTTCCAAAAATGGTAGGGATATAGCTAAAACACACGCATCATTTTTATACAACTGCTATGACTAGAGCATACTAGGGCACCTCGCGATTAAAGCTTCTCTTTTATACAAAAAGCCACAATATTAGATATTGTAAAAACTCTTATGTTCATCAAATACAAATTAATAAAGACAATAAATAGTTTAGTCTTATACAGACATTTATTTTGTATAAATGTTATTATAAAAATGTATACAAAATAACTTTTAAAGTTATATTTAATTTTTGCGTTATTGTTATTTTGCTTTTTGTTAAATGTTTTATCCAGGGTGTTATTACGTAATTCGTAATTTTCATGCTGTATTTATTTTGGTTAGTTTAAGTTGTTGTTGATTGCTTGGGTACATTGTTGGTTACTATTAAATAAATAAATAAAAAATCAAAATATACTCGAAATAAACTAAACTAGAGTTATTTACAAACAGAACTCATATAGTCAAAGGTTCATAGCATGTGATTATAGTTTGCAGATTTTTAGAAAGATATTTCCAGAAATACCAAAATAATTAGTATTATTATTTATTTATTATTTCGAGAAAATAATACATTTTTCCATGGCAAGAGTCTGCTATTGCAAAAATATGGAAATATCTCTACACGAAATTTATAAATAAAAGAAAATAAACGAAAAATAAAAAGAAGTAAATATAGAAAATATATCTGCATTTCATTATAAAACTATTTGAAAATTTATCGGAGAGTGGAACTCTTGTGTTTGTTGTGAAACGTCTCGTATAATATTGCTTAGCTTTGACGTGATAACTTGAACCATAATTTTGTTTCAGGAAATCGCCGCCATCCTTATCAGCTTTGATCGTCATGCAGAATGGCAGAGCAAGGAAGTCAAAATCAGGTTAGTATTGAACGTAGTATTTTTCAGAAAAGATTGTTGACCATTTTTTCGTTTGTCCGACGTTTTAAAAGTTAAGCATTGTAACGTATTTCATTTATGAAAAACCAAAGGGGGACCTCCTTGAGAAATATTTTTAACTACTCGTTTAAAAATTGCCGTTTTATCTATATTCTGTATCAAACCTCGGGAATTGCGTTGCTATGGAAATATGGAGATTTTATGATTTTTTTTTAAATTTTAAAATTTGAAACTGAACAATAACAAATACCGACTAAACCGCAATTAATTGTAAAGAAAATAGTCGAAGTTAGCGGCGTGCAAAAGAGAATTTGTAAAATGGGGCAATTTTCAGTCTATAGCAGTGGAGTGATTTCCAAGGAATTTTAAATTATCTGTCTTCAAGTTATTGGCTGCCCAGTTTGTTACTATTGCGAATTAGTTTTTAGCTTGGTGTATCTCCCGAGTAAATCTGATAAGTGAGTGGGGAGAAACTATTCTTTGGTTTAAGCTCTAAACTATGGTATATTTTCCAAATCACGCTTTCCTATTAGTTTTATCTACTAAATTCTTATAGCTTTCTAATGTCTTACTTTAAACATATTCATTAAACAAATTTCTTGATTTCATTCAGGTATAACATTATTACACGTCTATCAATTTCCATTCTCTCCGGAGTTTCCCTTCAAAATTCGTCGTACGCATTGTTATTGCCAGTAGGAGTTTCATACTTTTCACTTCATTCGCTTTCTGAACGTTCTACGAGAAATTAAGTTTAAGTAATCAGAGAGAAGTTCGCGCAACTATATGAAGCTACGCAGAGACATATCTCTTTTATAATTGTGGGCGAGCAGATAATTGGAGAAAGTTCAGAGTTTTAAACTAAGTTGGAAAGAGTTTGGGAACGGAAAGAAAAATTAAAGTTTATACAGTTACGGATGGCTATTCAGCGTTAGTTAACCAGTGTGATTAAACGGAGTGTTAGTTTTATTGAAAATTATTTACCCCTTGACCATAAAGACTGAATACAACTATTTTTGCTTCTTCGAAAAAATTCAAAAGTTAAAGAAACGAAAATACATATTTAAGGAAATTTCATGTTTAGGTACCAACATTAACAACAAATATATGTATATTCAGGGACTTTCTTTTTTGACATAATTTTCAGTAAAACAAATATTAAATAAATAAATTACTATATCCAAATTAAAAATTGGTTCTACTCGAAAAAAAAAATTTTTTTTATTAAATTAACAGAACTATTACTATTTTCTTTAATGAAAAGCGAAGAACTACTAGTAATCAAACAAACACCAAAATACCAGGGATCCACTCTTTATAAATCATACTACCTCCACTGAGGATTTATAAATTAGTGGTTTACAAGTGTAAAACGTCGAATAGGCAGAAACATTCCGCAAGACAGTAAACACATATTAATAATTTGGTTTTCTGCATTCCTCAGTACTTTTTTACCCAGCCGAAAGCTTGACTTTTTTTTTCTTTTTTTCTCAGCGTCTTTTCGCCTTTGTAGCAAACCCACTTTTGGGGTAATTTATTTGATGTTTTTTCCCATTCGAAATAAAAACATTAAGCACTTAGTAATGGAGCGTATTACATTTACTTTTTAAAAATACTGTTACGTTTTCAAATTGACCATTCTTAGCCCGGTTCGTCAAACGCAACGGTCAAATTAAACAAATCCCCTCAGCGTAAAGCTTAAAATTTATATCAGTTGATTATTGTGCGCTCCGGTTTATCTTTCCGACTGCTCGCTCCTGGACCGGGCTCAGTCCATCTCAGTCCATTAGGTTCACTCGTCACAATACTTAATTTAAGATTTTATCAATGCACAAATTGTACACGTTCTGATATGCTGTGAATAGATCCATTTAAAAAAAATATTCCTTCGCATACGTATTAATTTGTTTTTAGATTTTTCAAATTGGCGTAAACTAGATCAGGGGAAAAATCAACTATTTAAGTCGTTTCACATCTCCAATTTTATGTTCTAACGATTAATTGGAAACCTATACTAGTTATAGTATATTATGCAACCAGTGAGGCAAACGGCATTTCGCACGAGCGGAGTGAGTGTTTAATAAACGAGTGACTTAAAAAGTTTAACAAACGTGTTCCATTCTATACTTTTTCTATGACCTTTAGCTTTTGGGTACATTTTTGCAAAACAACACGAATACATTCACTGATATGACCGTCAGAATTGACAAAGTCTGACGGTCAAAATTCAACCCATGAGGGCTTGAATTTTGACGTTTGTCAATTCTGACGGTCATGTCAGTGAATGTATTTGTGTTGTTTTCCAAAAGTGTACCCAAAAACTAACGGCCATAGAAAAAGTATAGTAAACTTTCTTTGTCACTCGTTTATTAAACACTTGCTCCGCTCGTGCCAAATAGACTCAATGCCGTTTACTGCATAATATGCTATTAAGAAAACGTATCCGATTTTCAAATTCGGCATAATACGAATTAGATCTATGGTATTAATATTAATCCCTCACGGGCCTATTTTTTCCATTTTTTTTATTTCTTTATTGACGAAAATTACTAAAACGTGTTCTACAATCCTGTGTGTATTTACTTGGAAAAAAATTATAGTAAAAGATGTAATTATCTATTTTATGTAATTCTTATAAATACAGTTTGCTTGCGAAAATATTAAGGCTAGGCCCGTAATTTGACAAAAGGTACACCTCTCCCACTTCGGCTCGCGATAAACACATAGCGAAAGGTGCGGCCGAACTTTCGAGTTGGTTCTCGAAAAGCTTTTTTTTGTCGCAGACAGGGCCAGCTCGTTCCGGGTCCTCCATACCCCGATTCTCAAGATTTTCTAGCTTTCGCTCGCCTCCAGAACAGAACAGCTACAACTTGTACTTTATTCTTGTGGCTCTACCTTACATATACATTACTATCATTTCAAATGCCGCTTTAATATAAACAAACGACACGATTAATTATTCCCAATTACCCGTTTCATATCGTATCAACGCTAATTTTATTCGCATTTATAATTCTCTACAATTCACCTTTCGACAGCATTGGCCCGTAAAGTGATTAACGAAACTGACCTGTTAAAATGACACTTGGTACAAGTTTCATCAGTCTGTAATTGGGTATTTTAGAATACGGAGTAGAAAAACCAAATTTAAAACTATAAATATCATTCTTGTAATAGAATAAGCGCTATCCATTATCATAAAAAATCTCTGTTTACTACTCAAATGTTAAGTGGTATGGTCTGTTCATAGATATAAGAAAGCAACCAATTGCTTTTGAATGGGATTATCCAAGGGTTAGCAAGATTATTACCTAAAGTTTCGGAATTTAAATTCAGATAAAATTGTGGTCCGTAATAGAAAATAATTTTATACCTACCTGTGTTTAATATTCTTTGGTTTTGTATAATACTTAGTTTAAGTTTATTAGTAATTATTCTTATTTCGTGTGTAATACAGCGTGTGTTGAATCGTGTACGAATTATGCAAAATATGTGCGAGTCTAGTGTATTTCAAGAGATGCTCCCGCCCAAATGTTGAAAACACTATTCTATTGAGACTAAGGAAGTTATAAACAATGTTTATTTGACTCTCATTGAACGTGGTGCCAGCAAGCAAGCATCTTTAGAAGAAACGGCTACATTGACGAAAATTCCAAGATCAGAAGCGATGCTGACATTTTCTCGAGTGTAGATGAAAGTGATCAAGATATAATACGGCGTCAAATTTACCAGACGAGAAACAAAGCGTGCCTACATTAGATATCTTAATTAGGAGGCTTGAAACCGGTGTTAAATGTGGCAGAACTACCTTATGGAAGTGAATTCAACACATGGGTTTTAGATTTTAAAAAATTGACAAAAGGCAAGTTTTAATGGAATCTTTTAGAATTCGGAAATGGCGACTGGAATATCTCGAAAAAATTAAGATTTACAGAGAACAACAAAGGCCAATTATTTACTTGGATGAAACCTGATTCGACACTTATGATACCCCGGAAAAGGGTTGGGTTGACTCAACTGATAAGTGTAAAACAAACGCGCTATCAAAAAGTGGTAAAAGAATAACTATTTTGCATGATGGCTCTAAAGATTTTTGGATTCCAAATGGACTTTCTCTATCTGCGAAAAATATTAAAGATTCTTCTCTGGATTACCCTGAAGACACCACCGCTGATTTATTTGAAAGTTGGTTTAAAAACAAACTAGTTCCAAACATTCCTCCTAATAGCGTAATTGTAATGGACAATGCAAGTTATCACAGTAGACAGTTGACTAAAACCCCTGCCTCATGTGACACAAAAGCAATAATCCAAAACTACATGTATAATAACGACATTTATTTTCACGAAGATTATACCAAAAAGCAATTAACTGAGGTTCTACAAAGCTTGAACCAACAAAAAGAATACGTCTTTGATAATTATGCAAAAAATCTAGGGCATACAGATTTAAGGCTTTCACCTTACCACTGTATATTTAATCCCATTGAAGATGTTTGGCACCAACTGAAATCTGCCATTCGTCGTAACAATGTTTTCCCCGTGTTAATTCCAATGTCCTCAAACTTGTAGAAACCGAGGTTTTTAACATGCCTTCACAAAGTTGGGCAAATTCTGTTAAACAAAAAGCAGAACAATCGCATATCCATATTGCAAATAATATACAACAAATAATAATTAAAACAGGCGATGATAGTGATAGTGATACTGATATATTATGTGAATAATTTTAAGTAATTTAAGTAGGTAATTAAAATAATTTGTAATTTTATTTTAGATTTAAACATAAATAAATAAATATTGTTTAGTATCTTTCCTAGCAAAACCACAAATAATTAAATTCTAAGCAAAGTACGAACCTGTTCGGCCAAATTTCATCCTTACAGCTCGCCCGACTCTTCGTATCAGTAGTCACTTTCTTATATCTATGAACAGACTTTAACTATACAATTTGCAACTCGATTATCTCGAATTAACCCCGCA